TGCCTTATTACAGTTATTGTGTGTATGTATGTGTGTGTACATATGTATGAGGGTGCCAGCACCACTGCATGTGTGTGGAGGTCACAGGGCAACATCGTGAGATCAGAACTGTTCTCTCTTTCCAGCTTTATGTGGGTCCTGGGTATTGATGGATGTCGGTTGTAGGTGCTGCAGCAGACAGAGAAGCTCACCAAGACGCTAAGCCTTCATTTTCTGAAGGAGCAGAGGAGTGCAGCCCTCTTAGAGAAAAGACTGACCCCCCAAGGGCTCACTTCAGTTACTTTTATTCAGTCACTTTACAAAGTTAACTGGGGCTGGGAAAGGCTCCAACCACCAAAGTTATCTTGTCCTTGCTGCCCATGACAGCAGACAACCCCCACAGAGCTCAGTCCCTTCTGACCATGCCTAGCCCTAATCAAAAGTAAGAACTCCAGGTTTGCCAGCAGTGTCTTAGGACCAAGGTTGGTGCAGCTGTGAGTTCTCACGTAGCACTCAAGCGTGGACCTTCCTGAGAGACAACATTTTTTTCAAGGTTCAAACAGTCTCAGAACAACTTCCCAGCTTCTACTGATATACCAAACTCAGAAAGGCTTTGCTGAACCGCCACAGATAGAAAGACTTTACTATACATATCGTTACACCCGGCCACCAGACTGTGTCACAGGACAAGGATCTTTACCTACGGACTCATCTCACAAGTCCGTCATTTGTTTTAAAAACTGCTAATTAGCTTTATTTACTTGTTTGTGATGTGTGTGTGCAGAAGCGAGTATATGTCCTCCATATTGCTTGCCTGGAGGTCAGAGGTCAAACTGGCGTCGTTGGTTTTTTTCTCTCCCTTCACAGTGAGGGTCCTGAGGATTGAACTCAGGTCTCCAGGCTTCAAAGTAAGTGCCCAGACCTGCTGAGCCATCTGTGTCAGTCATGTGTTTCTTTGAGACAGGATCTCAGGTTTTGAACTGCCTATGTAGAGGAGACTGGTCTTGAACTCTCAATCCTCTTCTCTCTACTTCCTGAGTGCCGGGGTTATAGGAATGCACTATCATACCAGAGCTGAGGTTTTAAAATAAACATCTCTTAAAGTTCATTTTATCTATTCATTTAAAGCTTTCTTGTTTTGTTTTCATTTTTAAAAGCACTTTATAATTTTACGTGTTTGAGTGTCTGGCCTGCATGTGTGTTTGTACATCATGTGCATGTCTCGTGCCTGCCAAGGTCAGGAACCTTCTGGGACTGGAGTTACATACAGACTGCAGTCTGGGAATTGAACCCGGGTCCTCTGCAAGAGCAACCGGTGCGGTTTGTTGTTTTTTGAAACAAGGTTTCTTTCTCTATGAAGGCCCGGCTGTCCTGGAACTCATTCTATACACCAGGTTGGCCTTGAACTCAAAGATTTGCCTGTCTCCACCATCTCCCTGCAATCCTCCCAGCCCCCTACCTACTCCCGCCCCC